GAACTTCGAAAAAAATACGTCATTTTGTAGAGAATTTAATGCCTTATCGAATGATATATTTTTCAGTTTTCTCAAGAAACTGGCTCGATGAGCAATTTAAAATGAAAGTTTTTAAAAATTTTAAAAAAATTAAATGTTTGCGTTCAATTTTTATTTTTTAAAAAGGTCGCATTCGTGATCAGCGCGAAAAACTACATCTAATGATAGCCTCATATCAGTTCTCCGATGAAAATCATTTTTAAAAACTCACTCAGCGAAGTGTCGCGTTACGTAGCCAAGTAAAGACAATCAACATTAAGCAGAACAATATTTTCAGTGCATTATTGTTGAAGAAATTTACGAATTTTTACTAATTGTTAAAAGACAAATTTCTTCAGTACAAACTAAGTCGAGTTTGCATATCAAAGTTAGTCCATTAAACCATTCTACATGTTTTTATTCAATAGGAGTTCGATGAAGTGGAACTATTGAATCAATGTAATCTGCCTAATTTAGACAAACGACCCTTTAGGATAGGTATGTTACAAACACCAAATTCGCCAATAAACATTACATCATCACCACTACCACGATCTAAATAGTCAAATAATACAGAAAATGCGCTCTTGAATACTTATAGGAGATATTAGCTTACCACCTCCATCCAAGATACTTCGATTAACAGAACGCTTTTCTTTAACAAAAACAACATCATCATTACCACTACCATGATCTAAACAGTCATATAATATAGAAATGCAATATTCAAAGAAGTCATTCTCTCACCTTCTTCCATTCCCACAACCATGAAAATCACTTCGCAAACTTTGTCAATTTCTTCTTCTAGTAGCTTTTTCTCTCCCCAATCTAAAAACAAAATTCAAAAACGCTCAAATCCACGGCCCCACCGAAAGCGTTACACTTCAACGTACCAAACAACGTCGATAGATTAACCATAAACAGACTCTCAAATTCTGAGACCGTTTCATTCACAGCAGTTGAGTCCACCAAAAGATCATCAAAAGCCCCTATAGCATCGAAACCAAAACCTGATGCCCATGCTTTGTCAAAAGAGCAACAGAATGTCTAAAGACTTTTACCTTCAAGATACTGTTCGGACAAGAAACCTAGTACTGTCCGTAGCATTTTCGGTTTGAAGTCACTGACAGGAAACTGTTCAACAAAACTCATTCTTGTTTCTATCTAGAAAAAGAATTAGCTTTCTATGATTTCCCTGAGCGAAGAACCATGGCTAGAGATTTTGGCAATTACTTTTGCACCGCAGGTTATTTTTGTTTGTAGGTCTTTTGTAGGTAATAATGTATAGCATATAAAATTTGTTGTGAACACTCTCGGCCATATCGGTTGCAAGTTCCTTGAGGACTGGTTGCCTCACGGTCTTTTTTTCGACTTTGTTTCGAAAACTTTTGAACTTATTAACTTCTCTGAGCTATCTTTGGCTGCATGTAATGAATACCAAAAGATTTATGCATCAATTATTAAACGATATGCCTTTTTTTTGACGTACGGAAAGAATGTACAAGTTGTGAAAATCATTGACTGAATGTTTTAACAAAACATTTCCGTGGATTCTTGGATTCCGATCCATTCCTTTACTACCTCTATTCCTTACGCTCACACACAAAGAATCTAACTATATTTAGATATTCTAGTGTAAGAAGTATAGCTATCGAAAACCGACATAGATCTTTATCCCGATTCATGTTATACATAGATGTATCTGTTATACATTGGTGCATGGGGCCCCGTCTGACGGGCAGGTTTCCCACCGTTCCAGCGTATTAGAGACTATGTCGGTTGTGCCTTAATATAACGCAAGAGAACACGCCAGCTAAAAGCTGGCCTCCTCAAACAAAAGAGATAGTTTGACTGAAACACACGTAACGAAAGTTGGAAAATGGTGAATGAGTACAGAATTAGAACCAGAGTAAGAGTTGTATAAGAAGCGGAAGAAAGCGGATCAAACGATTAATCAGATCGTTTAATCACTTACCGTCATAAGGGAGATAAAATTATGGGAAAGAATTTCAGATTTCAATCTGAGCCCTGGACGGAGCGTTGCTTCATATATAACAGAAAACAACTAAAGGACTCCATCCAAGGTGGGCAAAGAGGATTCAAGTTTATAAATACCTTTATGAATTATTCATGCCACGGAATCGACTACTTGTAAAGCTTTCGTCTATCCGCTTACCGAAGTCGTTCAACGTAAATCGTCTCTAACTTCTTGTAAGTTTCTGCATTTTACCAAATATAATAAATAGAAATAGAAACTTGTTCTTTCATAGCATCATTCTGATAGTGTTTTTAGTAACAAGAAAGAAGCAAAGATGGTTCGTTTTGCATTTCGGAAAGTTGAAAATCATGAAAATGATGCATAGACTTAAGAAAATCATAGTTTAACGTTATTTTTTTTCTTGTCATCTCGATTTTCATCTCTTCTGATCGTATGAATAAGCATCTATTAGACATGAAATACACTCTGAGTATTTTAAGAGGCCGGTGCACTTTGAAACGTTGTCCGATAGTATTGTGAAATTAGAAAGATTTTTTGCTTTGTTCTAATCCAGAAAAGCTTACTGGCACCTAACATCAAAGTTCGTTTTTAGCTCCATTTATAATGATATCGACTGATAGTATAGTCATTCCTTGCATACAATGTCTTTTTCTAGCAAATTGAACAATAGCTGAGAAAGACTTTTTCGAATCTATTTCGAATGTGATAGGTTCCATCGCTAATAGTATAGCTGACCAGTAAACCCCCCTCCATAATAAAAGACCATCTGGTCCTCTATTTTGTCCAGCAAGTCGAATTCTAATCGGCAGTCTTTTATTGCGGTCAAATTTTACCACCTGCTAGTTATTTAAGGGCCCCACTCAGAAAAAAACTTTTGTCTTACATTCGATTTTGATGATGCTTTCAGCAAATATTTGCCATGTCAAAGTGTGGTTATGAAATTTTTTTTTCCTCGCTATCTCTTAGCGTTCCGGGGTTTTCGAGAGTCTAAGGTCAAAAAACCACCCTCCACTGTGGGACACGTTTTTTAAATATACTTCAAGCTAGAGATCTCGGATTGGTTTTATTTTAAACTAGACACCTAACTGCGTGGACTGATGGGACCAGATTTTTGATTTAGGTCTTCGTTCATTTTCTAGAGATCCAAGATGCTCAAAACCCCGAAAAATCCTTTCGAATTTCCAAAGATCCTTCATTTTTTAGAAAACTGAGACCTAATTAAAAAATCAGCGATCTTGTCGAGAAATTCTATAAGAAAGCCGTATAGAAATTAAACGCATAGAAAATAATTCTATAAGAAAAACGTATAGGGAAGCGTCTGCATGTTGGAAAATTTTATGCGGTCAGCTTTTCTATCCCATAAGGACATATGTATTCTCTTCTCAGAAACAGCCTTATCTTGGTTTAAATAATACTTCGTTGCTTAGAGGCTGGTTTATGTCAAAGAGTTATTTCCAGGAAGAAATCCTTGACGGCGGGCTTAAACAAAATTTTGTCAAATACTTTTTTCTGTCTATCACTAGCTGTACATATTCTACCTAGTTTCACACGCTGAAATCGAATATGCCATTTATTTTGAGAAAAAATTTCTGGACGACGGCAAACGCATTTTACGCCTAAAATTAGTATGTTTGCCCTTTTATATGCGAGTTCACGTGAAAAATAGATAAAATCAATTAGTCAGTTTTATTTTATAGATAGATTCAAGTTGGGCAGCTACACCGGGTTGCATATATCTCTCAAAAAACCTATTACCTTAGAAAACTCACCTTTTTTCTTCGAAATTACAAGTCCTAACCGATAAGTTTCAATCAATCGTAAGCTAAAAGTGGCTAGATTCGAAATCTCTCCAATGTTTATACGTGTGATCGGTCCGTTAAAATAATAGTTTTTTTCTTACTGTTTGTGTATGTAGGCGAACTATCAGGCTTAGGATTTTCCTACGTTTGTAGCAACACATCATGCAACTAGCGTACATGTACTAAAGCCCATTAATCTGTACCGTAATTAGGAAAAAGCAAACTTTCGATTTTTCCCACAACGTTACGGTTTTTCTTCTAAACTAAATTTTACTAGATTTTTTCAACTGATAAAGAATCTCCTAGTGGAAACCGGAATCTTCGTCGATATCCACAACGTGCATTACGGACATCAGAATGATAACAACATTAACATCAATAATTGAATCTACACGATCTGCACCTAACTCAGTAACAGAAACTTTGAGTAAGAAATTTTCAAAAGAGAAAAATGTCTGTATATTTGTTTGAGAAATTTTTCATACGAATTATAACTTGAAGAATGTTGTTGTGTATTTAGTAAAATTTAAATAGTATAAAATAAAAACCAACAACACTCGACTTTCAAGATGATTTAAAATCACTTGCGTCATCCGGAACACCACTGGCTAATGAAATGAATATTTTCAGCGAGTTATCATCAGCCGAGACAATTCCAGTCGACTCATTTATAGCACAAACAACTCCAAACAATAGTAATTCGATATCAATAAGAAAAAACTATCTTGTTGTATCACAATATGTGCCAAAGTTGGAGATGCACCGCAAAGGTTCTCTACAAAAAAATATAATTTTTTCATTGCTTTTATTAAACGTTTTGAAGGATCTCAACCTCTTGTTGTTCTATTGGATCACTGCACAAAAAGTAAAATCTCCAAGTATTTGTAGAACTTTGCTGATATTTACTTCATTATTTAGACTTTTGATCATCAAAAAACGACCTTTTTTTGTTTTTTAATTGTATCAAAGATCTACATCGGCTACGAGCACAATATATTTAGAAAATAAAACTTCATTAACAAAAACTACTGTTTGTCGTGGCTCCGGTATAACAGATGCCGGATTTGAAAAATTACAAAATCCGGTTGTCTTTTATGGTTTAATAAATCTATTTCGACAAGTTCGGATGAGACACCTAGCTTTATCGTTGGCAACACCATTGAATATACTAATTAAAAAAGAGATTAGACAAACGGATCCATAAGATCACTGTGAACTTTTCAAGAGTTCACAGTTTTATAATGTAAGTAGCTCCAGTAGTACACCACATAAAAAGTTTGATTGAGTTTCATTTTACTGCTAAGTCGAGACTAATCCATACCATTTAAGACATAGATTGAGCAAATCCAATTCTATTTTGTCCAAAATCAAATACCACGTACAAACGACGAAAAAGACCTTGTCCAAAAATGTAGAAACTGCTACTTTTCGATGCAAAACGACTATAACATTTTGTATTATTATGAGATTCGACTACATAATCTGAACTAGGAATCTTAAACCATTTGTTTCCTAAGCCTATATATATGGGCGGAAGAGAATCGAAATTTATTGAGCAATCGAATCGATACTAAAATGAGAGAATCAATATAACTGTATCGATTAGAGAAACCTAGATAATGTAGGATTCCATGTTTTGAGTAGTTAGGTTTTCACTCATCAACACACACGGAATTCCCCAGCTAAGATGTTTTGTACATGTAAAACTTACGAATATTTTATTTACTCCATCCTCCTCTGGTGTGATTTCTGGCATTATTGCACCAATATACTTATTTATTAGCTGAATGTCTATTTCACTTCCGAAATTAGCAGCAGAACCAGTATCGATACCAACGATTGAATTTTCACCAACTATTTTATCACCAATTTTGATACTAAATGATAAAAATTTATCTTCAGTACCGGATGCAAAGGAAGAAGGAAGCGTAACGGAAGCCAAACATCTTTTCTTGAACAATAGACAAACTCACCCGTCCCGTTCATTCGAATTGCCCACATGCCATTGTGATATAGAGGTACATAGACCAGATCTCCATTAAAGCGTTTTTTATCGATATTACCAAATGTTATTTCACCAGTATCTGAATGATTGTCTCTATAACGCAGACGTTTTAAGCATTTAAGAAAGTCCAATGCACAATAGAGGCGTCATTTTCTAAAGTCAAGGGTAAGTTCCGCGTTTTCAGAAAATGGAAGCAAAGAAAAAGTAATTTATTGACTCTCCCTATCTGTGTTCTTTGTATATTCATGTGCACAAATTTCGACATACATAGTGGAAATGCATATCGTCAAGATATACATCTCGCAGCAGGATTTGCTTCTGAAACAAAATCCGAAAACGACATGAAAACCGATTTTTCACGTTTAGTTACCTTATACATTCGAGGTCAAAAGTTCGGAACGTAGAATCGCTAGGCTATTCTCTAACCTGTTTATGAAAAATCTCCGAGAAACACAAAATCCTGTGATTTTCCGAAAGAATTTCTGATAAGCCTTTCAAGAAAAATATGCTTTTTCGATCGTATAATCAGGTTTAGCGAACACAATTAACCAGATTCCGAAGTTTTGAACTCGTTCAGATGTTTTTTGAGTGAATAACAATTTTTTTACTATAAGGTGAAACAGATGAACACTTTTGGTCTTCGCGATGTTTTGGGGTTGGTTTCCCCAAACAAGTACTGCTAAGAGATTCAGAGGCGTCGAGTACGTATGTGCCATACAATTTCCAGCAAAAGTAACTACATATGACTCGTGTGGGCTGCTACCACGCCCGAACTGCTAAAAGTCAAGGCCTAGAATAATTTCCATTTTAAATACTTTGTTTTATCCACCCATGTAAAAGAACGAAAACAGCCGTACTTCACGTTTCTGAGTTGTGAGCGGGTTGTCCACAGATTGCCTAAAAAAGTGGTTTTTAGAGCTTACTGGCAAAAAGATGCGATCGAGTCTTCTCTTTCGAACTCTCTTCATTCTCAACTTCCAATGCGTCACTTCAAACGCTTCTGTTTAGATAGGACCATGCTGAACAAAAAACTAACATCTTTTTCTCTTTCCCAGCCTTCTTTCTTCCGCCAGTAGTTGATGAAGAAAGATAACTTACCGTCCTATCCAATAACCAAACAGTTTTCGTTTTATATTCAAATTATTGACCCACGGTGTTTCATAACCGGCACCGTATACTACCATTGCTTTAAGTAGTTTATTAAATTCAGATTGTGACGTATTTCGGTCGTACAAACCCTGGTTTTCCTTGTATTTTTGAAAATCAAATTTGTCCGCTTCTGGCACATATCCTAAACCACAAATACCAATATCCGAATAGTATTCCCTTGCCTTACCACTGAAACTTGTAATGTCACCAAACCCTTGCTGTTTAACCACGAGATCTCCTACCTAAACTGAAAGAGTGATAGTATTTCTTCACAAAGGGTTTATCTTATACACACTTGTACACTATCAACGCCGAAAACAGCTTCTACACACGAGTTATCAAAAAAACAGGCTGAAGTATTCGTTTGACCTCTTGTATATGTCAATGATTTCGAAGTGTCATATTTTGGTGCTATATCTAGAGGAGCCACAATAAAATACATATTTAATTACCTGATCATACCACTTACTTCGCTTCTTATACAATAAGCATAATCAGAAGCATACTCATTCATGTGTGGATAATTATATGACCTTTTACTTACTAGAGCAGTTTTTGCAGTGAACTGAAGGAATCAACATTGACATTGAGCCAGTGTCGAAATTGCATGGTACAGGTTGTCGGGGTGTGCCAATATAAATGACACCGATGTATAATCTCTATAAAAATACATCAAGGAACGATGATTCTGAAAACAAAGTGTGTCATCTAGTCGTAATAGCTACTGAATGCATGCAGATGCACACGAGAGCTTTGTTCAAGTTGCTTTTTTTATGGAAAAGTAGGTAAAATGTGCAGCAATTTCCAATTTCTCGTTTGCATCCGAATGTAATGCACTGATTTCGTATACAGGGTTGCGAAACGTTTGGTTTTGTGAAACTGATTGGACTGTTCAAAATGAGAAAAGAAAAACGTTATTTCTCCTCTCTTACCCGGATTCTTCGGCTGTTTTGACTATCATATTCGGAATTAGCACCGCCTATTATTTAAAATCAGGTATACTTCGAGTGAAAAGCGAGTGGACACTTGGAAATGGACAATTCCCTTTTAGTGGAAATGCATCTGATCAGTCGAAATTAATTATTCTTACATAGAACGAAGCTATGTTCAATACACTTACATTAAATCTTCTCAATTGAACCGAATGCACTTTTTCAATATCGTTTGCAAGGTTGTAGTGTAATATTTCTCCTGCTTTATTGTGCGTCCTATATTAGACAGAGCAGAAATAAATAAATAATGAGAAAGTGATTCTTTCTTACCTAACTTCCGAAATTGAGCGTAAGAGTATAAACCAACAACAAAGACGCCAAGCAAAAATCATGTTGATGAAGTGAACGTTAGTCTTCGAATCTTATCTTCAATTTACGATTTTCACATCTAACAGCGTTTCAAGTCTCTTGAATTTATTTGAAAAAGAATCTATCCAGCATAAAAATACCTGCTTCAGAATAGAATTCAAATCGAATGTTTTTCTTTGTCACAATTTTCAGTGGAGTAGATTGAAATAATGCTATCATTTGTTTTCCATCTCAAATTTTTCATACTAGAACTGCGACAAATAGTGATTTTCTTTTCTTTTCTTTTCTTATTCACGTTATATACTGTGTGTGCTCACGTTGCAATGTACGGTACACATATATAACATACATTAAGACTGTTGTCTGTGTAGAGTGATATCACGTTTCTTTCTTTTCCTTAGTGTATACGAACGTTATATAACGTTCGTACACACTAAGGAAAAGAAAGAAACGTGATATCACTCTACACAGACAACAGTCTTAATGTATGTTATATATGTGTACCGTACATTGCAACGTGAGCACACACAATATATAACGTGAATAAGAAAAGAAAA